TGTTTGAGCGGTTCACTTATATTCACGAGCCAACCTAACTCAACAAAAGTTGCAGAGGATAAGGGTTGGTGGTGTTGAGGTGCAATGTCTAAACCAGTGTCTCTCTTGTTACCTTGAGTCTTTTTCTTGCTTTCATTTTGATGCTATATCTACAAATGTATTTCTGCTGCTCACCCATATTCAATCTTGATTTTCATAAATGAAAGGAGAGACAGCACCACAAAAGGAATCATACATAGAGAGAGAGTGATATTTAGTCTAGTCCTGAGTCCTCACGAGAGCTGAGGAAGGTCTGAAATTGAAATGGAACCGGGAGGAGAGGGAGCAAGTGTCATGTACAGCATAGCAAGCCCCATTGAGTGAGAACTGTACAACTATCTCCTAAGCCAGCCGCAGCAACAAACCGCAAAAAGTTATTACTATTCTTTAATTCTACAAATTATCATATTTATATATCATAATCTCAGATTTTTTTATATTAAAAAAGGAAAACACAAAGAAACAAGCAATCTTAATCTTATCTTCTATTCCATCCAAAATTACATTTAAACTTTAATAATTTAGTATGTATTTAAATTCAATAATGAGTTGGTCAATTGATTATGATTCTGATGTTAAGTAAAGAGACGAGATGATAAGAATTTATTTTTTCATCTCACCCGATCTTTTGATATGATCATCTTTCTCTAAATCTGAACTTGACTAGTTAAGACACGAAATAAATGATATAGAATCGGGTTAATATAATTTTCAACACTATAAAATTATATGCAATACAATAGTAAAATAAAGTGAATATAAAGCTTAAATTAAGGTATACGTGTTTTTTATATATATTTCACCACAAACAATTTATAAATATAATATAATATTAAAAAAAATTGTATATTAAAATTAAAAAAGTTATTATCAATATAGAATAGTTAAAAAATATATACTCACTTCAGACTGGATTATAATAAGTAAAATTGATTAATTTATCTGTGAATTAAAATATTTTAATTCAGTAAAACTTAAAATAAATATAGGCACGACTCGGTTTCCTTCTGGATTTATAAGTTATAACTGACCTTTACTTGGCTCATTCTTCTGAATTTGTCTTCTCTCTCTCTCCGCTTGTTGGAGGACAAAGTTTGTGATGGACGCTGGAGCGCACTACAACCCTCGTACCGTCGAAGAGGTTTTCAGGGACTTCAAGGGCCGTAGAGCCGGCATGATCAAGGCTCTCACCACCGGTTTATCTCTCTCTCTCTCTCTCTCTCTTTTCTTCCAAACATTCGCACCCACTGTTTCTCACTCACTCTCCTTCTCTTACATGCTAATTCTATCACTTTCGCTTTTACTGTTTCCTGTTAATTTATCCCTTCTTTTGCGCATTCTAAAATCAAACTTTCCATTGACAGATATTGAAGAGTTTTTCCGACAGTGCGATCCTGGTTAGGGTTTATTTTGCCTTTGCAACCACCTTCACTTTCTGCTTTCTTTTATGCACGTGTTGGACTCTGTAACCATAATTTCAAAATTTTGGTTTCTTTTACTTGCATTGCATAATAGGGTAATTAATTGATGATTATTTTATGCTTGCGACTTGAAACTTAATTTGACTTCAATTGACTTGTTTTGTTAAACAAACTAGGCTTTTGTTTTTTAAATCTTTCCTTGTTTGCTATGCACAAAATCTTGCGTTATGTCGTTAATCAATTAGATTTAGAGTAGAGCATGCTAACTACGCAAGTGAGCTGCATTGTGATAATTTATTGGTGCTTCGTTTGTTTGTTTTACTGTTGTGTTTGATGTGCACCAGAAAAGGATAATCTTTGTCTGTACGGGTTTCCCAATGAGCAATGGGAAGTTAATTTGCCAGCAGAAGAAGTTCCTCCGGAACTTCCTGAACCTGCGCTGGGCATTAACTTTGCTAGGGATGGGATGCAAGACAAGGACTGGCTGTCTTTGGTTGCTGTTCACAGTGATGCATGGTTACTTGCTGTGGCTTTCTACTTTGGGGCACGATTTGGTTTTGATAGTGCTGACAGGTATAATTCTGTTTTCTAACCCTTTATTGTGTTGTTTTTTCACGCAATCAAACTCTAGATTGGACAAGGAATTTTTTTCGGATGTCTACCGTTTTTCATCTATATTAATCAACTTTTGTCGCATTTTGTGGCAATGCTGTTTTGATTTAGTTAATGGGAAAACATTATGAGTTATCTTGGAACACAATAAATAATGCTTGGAATACCTTCGGTCAAGTCGGTTCAGGTTATGTACGTTTTTCTTATTTTGACCTTACTTGGTCAAGTTCTGGTCAAAGCCAGTCAGATCTCAGGTTATGCGACAAAAAAACTAGAACAGGAAAAAGAATCAGGGGTTGGAACTTGAGACAGGCCAAATGAGATATCGCCACTCACCAGCAGCACGTGCCTCCAACTCAGCATACAACCACCCCAAAATCACCCATCAGAAACCAAATCCCCCTTCCTTGCTGCATAGGAATCACAGATTCAAGGTAAAGATATTACAAAATATGGGGTTGGAGGAAAACCCCAAAGGTGTACCTGGGGTGGAGTATTTGAGGGAGAGGTAGGTGAAGGAAAGAAGGGTGAGGATTGCATGGAAGAGAAGCAAGCTTCACGGAGAGAAGAACCAGGATTGTTGTTGGCCTTGCTTCCCAGACGACTTCACTATCAGATTCACCCGAGCTGTGTGTATAAGCTTTGATTTTGATCTATCAGTTCAGCAATTTGAGGGGTTAGATTAGATTGAAGAGATTAGAAGAGGAAGTGGATGGATATGGGTTTGTTTTGTGTGAAATTTGTGATGAGAGGCTTGGAATCTTCTGTACTCTGACATTTGTCTATGCTGCACTGGTTCTTCCTCTAATTTTCTGTTTTCGAGGTTATATTTCTCGGATTGGTAAATATAATCCTGTTACCTGATTTGTGTTGGTTACTTATTTTATAATCTGAATCTACTTGCATGTTTGGTCAAACCATGTCATATGGGTTCAGCGCAAGTTGGGTTGGTTGGGTTTATGCAATCCATGTTCTCCCTTAGTTATAATGGCTGAATAAGCATATTTTCAATGGAAAATATTTTAAGGGAAAAATAAAATTCACAAGCATTGTTTACTGCTAGTAGCATAGTAGGTTAGAGTATCTGAATTCTTTGTTATGCAAAAGGCAATGTTATCAATGGTGGATGGTGGAAGGCAAAAATTCCACCATATAAACATGCCATTGCAGCGCATAGCAGGCCTCCATTCACAAATTGCCTATGGCAGTTGGCAAAAAATATGCCACAACATTCCACCACGGTGGCCATGGTGCCGCAATGTATTATTGGTAAGAGGGTAAAGTCAAAAGTGCACAAGAAAAACATAAGCAAGGCAATATTCTTATGCCAATGTCTTTCTTATGCCAGAATCAGTCTTGTTCTTCCTTTTCTTATGGTGGATCAACATGTATTTCTCTAAGGGTCAATTTAATGAATAGCTCATGATGAGCATACGTAGCCCTATAATTATAAAGAAGGAAAAATATCTTACATTTTGGATTCTAAGTTTTTATCTCTGGGTTAAAAAAAGGGGGTTGAGACCTTTATAGTGTTTAGGCATAAAATTTCCATTTACGCCAACCCCCCCATATATTTTTGGGATTTGGCTAACAAGTATAACTATAAACCTTTTGGTCATTGTTCGGTATGACCTTTTCATTTCCAGATGGTGATGGCAAACAAGTTGGTGGAATACAATATGTCTGATATAATAAATGTCTAGAAAAACCGGTTCATTCAGGGATAAACTGTGGCCTGTGTTTTATCATGGTATATTATAATCTGCTATTGTCTTTGCAGGAAACGTCTGTTCACTATGATTAATGATTTACCCACAATATTTGAGGTTTTGACTGGAAGTGCAAAGAAACAGACGAAGGAAAAGTCATCCATTTCAAACCACACCAACAACAAATCAAAATCCACTTCAAAAGGGGTAAAAATATCTTAGTATCTCCACACTTATCTGCATATATATATTTTTTCTCTATATATTTTTTATTGTCATAATTGTTCCACTAGAAAATATTGTCATAAAAATATCTAGCAATGCATCAACTCCTCCAGCTTTTCACTTTTTTAATTTATAGATGTTTTTTCTTTCTTTTTAAATGGAGTTGTGGTGCCACATACTTATAATTTCATTTCCTTCTTTGACATGTCATTTATGCATTAATTTGTTATTGGAACAAAATAGCGAGGATCTGAATCAGGGAAGTATTCAAAGCAAATAAAGGATGAGGAAGATGAGGTACTGGATGAAGAAGATGATGAGGAGCATGGGGAGACATTGTGTGGTGCATGCGGGGAGAACTATGCATCTGATGAGTTCTGGATTTGTTGTGACATATGTGAGAAGTGGTTCCATGGTAAGTGTGTGAAGATCACTCCTGCAAGGGCCGAGCATATCAAGCAGTATAAGTGCCCCTCGTGCAGCAACAAGAGAGTTCGACCTTGATATAGTTGGGATGCGAGTCACTTCTCACCCCTTGTAACTAAATCATGTTGGACTTCTTTCTAACTTGTTAGTGACTTAGGCTTCGTTTGCCATCCCATGATCGTGTGGCATATATATTCAGTTTCAGTACTTTGGGTCTAGTGAACTTTGTGGATATAATTTTTAATATTGATAGTTTTTAGCTTCTGGACATGTCTCAATCTTTGTCGTTTTCTCTGGATACATATATTCGTAGTATATGATAGCACACGCGGGCGCATATACAAGTATGTATGCATGTATGTCATATATGCTAGCTTGATGCATTGGATTGATTAGCTTTATGGTTTACCCAATGTAGCAGTGTGGCATCTACTCTAGCCTTGGACGAACGACAGCAGAGTTGGCTTGAGGTGCAAATTACTGTCAAATTTTTTGTTCAGCATTTTACGTCGTGTATCTAACTAAAATAATTCTGGGTTTTTCCTTAATGCTCCGCTGAGCCACTGGAACATGGAAAATCTTATGGTAGGGTTGGCTGGAACAGTTGATCCGTTGAAATGGTCTAATAACGTGTTCAATAGTCTGATGCATCATGCCCTGGCCTATTTTAGTACATTCGACTGAGAAAAATAGCGGACAGGGGATGGATTTGTAAGAGTGATGTGTTTATATTGTGCATTAACCATACGAATCATGAGCAAACAAGCTCGTCTGAAGAATTTCAATTCATTAGTACGTGAACATGGTCGTAAAGTAAGTGGGTGTTCTATTGGAAGGAACAACAAAAGCCAAATATTTTCATTTAGACAGACACTGTTTATAAATCTATGATATAATATTGCATACTCTTCAATAATATTTGCAATACGTACAACAGTTCACGCAAACCGCAAAACGATATCCACCTTTTCGTGGACAGCATTAAAATTTTATAATTTATTCGATGTGATTACAAATGTGGCTGCAAAAAGGGGCTCTTTTTAGAAAATCACCCATTATGTTGTTTTCTCCACATCTCACAACGTGGCAATTTTTCAACACCCGTGTTTGATCAATGCTCCGAGTCTGCTTCCTTCCCAGGGTCTCGAGTCGATAAGAGATTAGAATCAGATGGCCAAATCAAGCAACAACTCCAAGCATTGCCTCTTATGGCAAAAAGCAGAATTGTGCACTCCACTCACCAGTCAACTTACTCTTGTAGTTTTATTCGGTATAATGATATTGGGATTTCTTACATGTGGATTTAGTTCTGCCAATTCCTTCCATCTTGTTCCAGTACCAAAAATACGAGATGAGATGCTCCACAATGTGTCACTGTGTTGCACGTCTTTGGTGGTTGGAGCACTAGTTTTAGATACAGGCTTTGACTTCATAAATAAATTATTACTGTTCTTCCCCATTCCATTAGCAATCAACCAACGGGAACCAGACTGTTGTTGTCTTGAGGTGCCCCAAACCTTCTTTTTGCGAGCCTCAGCCTCAGGCTCGGTCTTTAGACCTGCAACATGTACTTCTGTAATTCTGAACTGAGGAATGGCCTCCTCTTCAGAACTTTTATCTTCTTTGTTGACCTTCATCTCCACCTTGGCTACTATTTCACACTCATCATCCTCATCATTAATGTTCCCCACCTCAGACACACGTCTATAAATCTTATGCTTTGGTGGGACAAACTCCCTTTCCACTTGTATAAGAGCAAGCATCGGTGTTCCAACAGCCTCATAGTTTCTTAGAGGATCACGAAGTTGCACCATTAGAGCTACTGTGAAATTGTTTCCCAACAAACCACATTTCCTGCCAGAGCCTTTGCCTCGTTTCTTCTCTCCCTTTGGGCTCCCACGATTGAAGTCAAACGAGTTAGCATGATGGGCAGCAAGAAGTTTGGAAGTATGTTCACTGATGTTATCTATATCATCAAAGTCACCAGAATCCAGCCTCATCCATTCATCAAGAGTTAATGATAGGCCCATTATCCCATCAACACCATCATTGCTGCTGTCTTTTAAATTCAACAAGTGCAATGCAGCAGCTCCATCCAGGCCAAGGGAGCCATTAATACTGACCCCCTTGCCTTGTAGAGCTGATATGTCCCCAAAGGTTTGTGCAATGATGTTTGATGGTGCATCCTCTTTTGACATCCCGGATTGAATTCTCAAACCCTCCACTGAAAGTGCTTCAATTTTATCCATAGCTAATGGAGAAAGATCTTCCAATGAAGCAAACTCTGAGCCTTTCTGGTCGTCAACTGAACTTGAACAAAACTTGTCAGTCTTTAGTCCACCAGGTAATATTCCTTTCAAGCCCTTTTGCGCACAAGTAGATTCTTGTTCTGTTACCAAATCATGCTGCAAATGGAATTGCCTGCTTAAAACGGAGCAAAATTCAATCAGTAAATCATTTAAAGAAATGACAATTAAAAACCTTACTTCCAAGACAAGTACTGGGGAAAAAAGATAGAGAAACCTGTGTGTTCCCTCCAAGGCTGACTTTGCTTCCCATGATATTTGTTGCATTGTCTTCCCTGTGATTTCTTCCAGAGGCATTAACTTGTTTGCTTGCATGGAAAGCTTTTCAATTCCAACTGAAGCCAAACACTGCAAAATCTCCATTATCCTAGAACCCATTTCAGCAGGCATCACCACAGGGTTGGAAACCTGCATGATTAATCTCCCACCAGTTTTACTATTCCTGAAAAGTGAGGGATTCAGTGATCGTAGAAACCCCCCATCTTTGGTCTGAAGAAAAGGACCCATCCCCTCTTCCAGAGGAGGTAATGGTAGAGGTTCTTCGGGTAGAAAATATATTGGACTTCCAAAACCATTAAAATCTTTTGGAGGAGAATGCTGAAAAGCTTTCTCATTCAAACGCCACTCATGCATTAAGGCTTCTGTTTCCAAGTCTACTAGCATCTGGACCTTCTGTTTGCTCCTCACATCCTCAGACTCAATTAGATACTCTTTCTGCAGATCTGGCAATGAGGATACTGACTTAATACCTGCAGAGAACTTCCACTGCTCAGATCCAAAAGAAGCGCCATAGCCTCCATCTGCTTCATTATCATTGCCTGTGTCAAAATTAAACAACGAGAAGCCCTCAGAAAGAACTTCCTTTTCAAATTGTCTTAAAAGGCGCTCTCTTGGAGACTCGAACTCGCTTTCAAAACTCACACCCATTGGACTATGGTCTATTCCTAGCTTACTTAAAAATTCACTCGCGACTGATTCTGCAAAATCATCCAAGCTCTGTGACTTTCTCAACCTATTCTCATATTTGGCTTCCACGGTGATAGGAGAATCCACTGCCAAGCTCTCCAACTCTGAGACTCTATTTAAAGCTGATTCTAGTTCTTGCATTATTTCTTTCGTGCACAAGACACCCATTCTGTTAGAAATTTCAGGTACCGCAGCACTTTCCCTAGAACTATCATTTAGCTCATCCAAGGAATCATGTTTAGCACTATCTTCAAAAGATACTTGAATAACGTCAGTATCAAATCTGTCAACTGTATGGACATCAACAACAGCTTTTATGATGGATTCCTCTAGTTTAACATGTTCATTTGATGAAAAATTGGTGCCCTGCCCCTGATCAACAATAGAAAATCCATTACCTTCACACTCTTTGGAACTTTCTATTCCTGAATCAGGTAAAGGATAATCATTTGTCCCAACTATCTGCAGGTTTTCTCTAAACCCATCAAATTCAGGTTTGTGATGCACCAGACTGCATGTTTTCCCTTCATTACCAGGAGTCTCTTCTGACTTTCCTTTTTCACTATCAGATGAAAAACGGACAGCCGGTTTGATTGGCTTGGGATTTTCTTTATATAATTCAGGTTCAGGTTTGTCATGCAGAAGATTACACCTCTTTTCTTCATCAAAATTCTTGTATAAGCTGACTCGTGCTGATTCTGATGATGGTAACACCTCATGAAGATCTTTCACCACATCTACCACATCTTGAGATGAATAATGAGGACTGGTAAAGCATGGCAAACTACCGGCACGTCTAACGTTCCTCTCAACCTGACTAGGTTTTGTATCAGGGTCCATCAAAGGCATGCTATTTACCCTGGAAGTGAATAAATTAGGAGGAGTACTAGTATTATCCGGAACAATCGCATATCCAAAACTGACATTCATTACTGCACCCTTTGCAGTTCCTGATAATCTAAAAGTTGTAGTCCATTTCCCTGAGGTTTTCTCTTCTTCAAGCTCTTCCAGTGTGAGAGGAAGCAACCTTGTGAGATCCACCCGGTGCTTCCCCAAATCAAGTTTTGGGGCACCAGGCGTAGAAGCATAGACCAAAAAATACTTAGCTTCATATTTAGCAGAATTATGGGGTCCACTCTTACTTCCACAGATTGAGAAAGTATGAGCCAAAATCTGTTGAAACTCAGCCACACCTTGAATCACCTTGGCTGGAGGGGTCGCCAAAAGCACATCCTTCCTCTTCCAAAACACACAAAGGCTATAATTGTTGAAACTCAATGGCAAACCTTCAATCAAATGGACTTGGAGAGTAAAACAACAATTAAACCTCTTGTTGCGAGTCAGGGAAAGGGCCTTCAATGGCTTCCAACCCCATATAGACTTCTTATCCTTACGCAAATTGTCTTCTTTGTTAGCTTTAGCCTTTGATTTGGGATCATGTAACGCGGTTTTGGAAGATGTTGAATTCGTGGAAGACTTTTTCTCCCTGCACGGAGCTTCGTTTATGGTTTCAACATCTTTTGATAACAACTCGTTCTCCTTTTCACCACTCTTTTTACCACCTTCAACTCTCGACATTATCTAGATAGGGAAATGACACAGAACAGAACCCAAAATTCAATAAATAAATAAATAAATAAAAACAAGGAATTCATCAAAAGTAGCAGATTAATGAATTTCATATTAAAAATAGAACAAGGAGATGAAGGATTGATAGGTGATTACTACCGGGTGGCGTTGAAAAGGATCGAAAACATGAGGAGGAGAAGGTGGAAGCGAAACTCAAAATTCAAACTCTGCAATCAATAAAATAAAATAAAAATCCAATTTTTATTCCAAAAAGAGAAAGATTGAGAGATGGGTATGGAAAGAAAACATAGCATAGGAATAATGTTGTTCCTTCGTTTCTCCAATGTCTTGGTTGCCGCTGCTTTTTTCAAACTGAATAGAATATTAACGGCCAACATTTTTATTTTCAATTTATGCCCTTTTATCTATGCTCAATTCTTATTTTCATACTCTTTCTATTTATGCCACATTATTTGAAACATACTTTTTTCACTCTTTTATTACTAAATAAAATTTATTATAGAAATCAAATTCACGTGATTTTGTAAAAGTATATATTAAATCATAACATGTGATAGCACATAACCTACTCAAAAATAAGTAAATCATAATATACAATAAAAACCTAAATATCCATATTTATTTCATTTTGCACTTCAATAGATTGATATAATTACTACATCAATTATTTTTAAATAAAGTTAAACCAAAACAAACAAACTTCAAAATTAAAATAGTAATAAAAACATCATAAAATAGTAACAACATAAATTTGAATTTTACTATTTCTTTAACTTGTTTTCTACATAGTATTTTTTCAATTAGCTTTCTGATGAGTATTTCTACTTATTTCATATGTAAATTTTTTGTCTTCTTCATCCTTTATGACCACATTGTTGCACATTCACGTGAATAAATGCAACAGGAAACTTTGCATAATGGTTATATTTCATTCAATGAAAAAAATGTCAATATAGCACTATCCAGGGACGGATTTACTTACAAGGTAGTGGGGGCACTTGCCCCCACTACCATTTTACATATATATAATTTTTTATTATTTAAAAAATAAAAAAAAAA